CTGCTTTTGTAAAGCCTTTTGTGACACAGCTGAAGAGCTGACAAGGCCTGTACCCTACATGCTGCAAGACCACAACTTCTTCTTACAATAATGGAGTATTACAAAGGGTGATACAGTCTTGTCAGTACCAAACCCTTTCCAGTGGTTCTGGCGTAATAATGCTGTTTGCTTCAGGCCTCTAGAAGGCCTGATTGTGGTGCCACTGATTGTTCTGCAGGAGGGAAGATGGCTTTGCCTGGAGGAAGGCTGACTGGCAGAAAAAAAAAGGCCTTAAATTTATTCTTTGTGCTCCTGTGTTGAAGAAGATCCGTTAGAGCCAGTGCTGGATGTCTGTGTGATGTTACTGTGTGCAGATCAGGAGGAAAAACATTTTAAGCTTGGGAGATGCCACAGGTTCAGTATTGGTGCAGACAGGCTGATCCATGGCTGGTGAGGACTGCAAGGAGCAGCAGCTGTGGCCTGCAGCTGAGACGCCGCATAGGAGAGAGGCAAAGGGAGATGATGCTTGCCAGATGCCCACACAGCAACTTAGGGCTACAGGCAGGAATGGGACTTGGGAACTGAAAGCACCGACTGCCCTGCTAATGGAGCAGTGGGTGGCTTATAGCAACAGAGGTGCCCCTGAGTCCTGTCAGAAAAGCCGGAGTAGCTGAAGAAAAGTGCTCCCTCCCCATGCTGCTGAGATGATACGTGTCCTTCCAAATAATAAACTCCCTCCTTTCTCCACAGCTTCTGCCTCTCCTAGCCTCACGGGGACTCCAGAGGCGGCCCTGGCTGGCGTTCAGCACCAAGGAAGAGAGCACTGCAAGGCCCATTGGGCGATACCCAGTACCCAATAAGAAGGACATGCCGTATGACATTGTGGAGCTCATGGAGGAAGTAGAAATGAAGGTAAAGAAATTCTACTGGAAGACTGTCAGTGGAAAGGGTCTAAAGCCTGAGTAGGTCATACACCCTAAGAGAGCAGTTCTGCTCCAGTTAGGTCTAACACAAACCTGATAGCAGACTGAAGTGAGCAGCACTTCTTGCAAAGGCCCTTCCATTCTACAGGATGACGATTTTACTAGAAATCTTGCAGTGTGTTGACAGGATTGTAAGCCTGCCTGGTTCCATGAGACTAGTGGGTTGTTTCAGGTGGCATATTGTACACAGGGATTAGCTGGAACACTGACATGTATTTGTTTTTTCTGGGAGGGCAGCTGTGTTTACTTGAGACGCTATTAGAAGTATTTTTAACACTTTTAATGGAGAACAAACAGGAGAGGAGCCGTTTTGATGACAGTGTTAAAAGACTCAGGGGGTGTTTCCACTTTTGAGCTTTGATGGTTTTTCTCCAAAGCCAAATGGGCTGTGCAGTGACAGAACAGTAAGCCTAATGCTGAACTGTGTATAAGGGGAAAAAGAGGGAACTGGATGAGAGTTTCCTTCCCTGCTGTTGCGGAGAAGGAATGCCATACAGGCCTTCCTGATGGCTAAAACATTCCACCAGCCGCAGGTCCATGACTTCTCTTTTCCAAGAGCTTCATCTCGGGGGAGTGCCGGTCCATCCCTCCCTATCCTTCCTGTTGGCCTGTTGAATCTGTGCTCTGCTACTGTTGCAGTGGCCTGACTGAAGTTTGCATAATAACAAAAGGAGTCATCAGACTTGAGGGTAAATATGATGTACAGAGGAAGAGTCAGCTCACATTTCACACGCTGTGATGCAAACCCCTGTGTGTCAGTGCACTGACAGGGTCAGCAAAGACCTGTGTATAGGATCCAATCAATCCAGCAGACTTGGATATCCAAACAGTGCTGCCAGCCTCTGTTGTGCCAACCACAGGTTGTGAACAAAGCGGGAAGAGCCTGCCCTTGGTTTATTAACAGTAAACAGATGGGTGAGACAGGAGGAAGGCACAGGCAATTGTGTGGCAGTGGAGGGAGGTTGCCAGAGGGGTCTGTGACACCTGGGCTACTCTTCTTTTCCATAAACAACCTAAAGAACAGCAGCTGGTAAGCTGATGGAGGCTACAGGCAGTTACCACAATCACAGTGAACGCAGCCTGTTTAGAACTGCAGTGGGCAGCCAGGCACTGAGGCTGAACCCCTGTTGATAAATGCCAGCTGCTGTGGCCCAGGCAGAGGTGGGCACTGCATTGGCTGATCCTGCAGGTAAGAGGCAGCAAGCGATTCTCTGGGAAAAGGCAGCCTTGCACACCATCACAGAGGTGGACTGGGCATTGGCAGTTATCGGGGGCAGAATGGAGAGAGAAGTAGAGCAGCATTATTGTGCCAGCATATACATCCACTGTGTGTAGGCACCTCAGACAGTGTGCTCTTCAGATTGGGCTGGCCTTGTGCTGCATCCTGTAAACTTGGAGGGAAGAGGAGACTTACAGAAGGTTTAGGATGGTCAAACGGGCTTAGCGGCATCTGTGCTGGGAGACAGCCTCTCAGTTTGGAAAGGAGCTCACCAATGTGACTGGTCTTTACTGCTGTGGCTGAAGTGTGCAGGGCAATCAGTCATGCTATGAAACCGCAGCAACACCTAGTGAAGAACCACATCATTATATGTTCAGTCATATGTATAAACGAGCTCAAAGGGCAAGAGAATGGGCCTGCAGAGATTCCCCAGCCCTGCTGTGCTAACAAATTCTTCCCTAAGCCTAGTGCGTTAATGTCACCCTCTGTGCTCTGTGTTAAGTTACAGTTCTGAACTTGTTTTTCTTTTTCCTTGAACAGACTGGATTTCTGCCCAATGTGTTCAAAGCCATGTCTCACCGACCTGCTGAATTCAGAGCTTTTTTTGCTTATTACAATGCCATTATGAACAAAGACACAGGTAAACCATACAACCGCCTTAAAACTGCCCTTCCCTTTATAGATGCAAAAAGGTGCTAGAAGCGGCATTTCTGACATTCTGTGCTCGTTTTGGCTGGGGTAGAGTTAATTTTCTTCCTAGTAGCTAGTACGGGGCTATGTTTTGCATTTGTGCTGGAAGCAGTGTTGATAATACAGGAATGCTTTAGTTATTACTGAGCAGGGCTTACACTGAGTGCGTTCTCCCTGCCCATAATAACAGCTGGCAGAAGCTGGAACTGCGCAGCCGCTTCTGGCTTTGCTTGTGTTGCACACAGCTTCATACTCTTCAGCTTGTGGTTAAAAAGCAGCTCTCAGGCCAAGCTCTGCTGCCTTGCTGCACCATGCTCTGTCTCGAGACAAAGAAAGGATGGGCTGCTGCATAAGGGAAGATAAGCTGGGAGCCGAGTGTGCTGGAGCGGTATAGGCAGAGGCAGTGGTTTCAATGGCAAGGCTGCAGCCCCACACTACCAGAGCAAGGCAAGCAGGGAAGGTCTGGCAGTGGTGACTAGGGCCAGCAAGGAGTCCAGTTTTCCCAGGCAAGTCCATGGGGACGAGGCAGATCCAAGGTCAAGCCAGAAAGTTGGCCTGGGGGTCAGTCAGGCTCCAAACCAGCAGGCTTATGCAGCCAGGCACTGCAGCTGCAGCATGGCTCAGGTGGGGTCACAGCCAAGGGCCCAGCATAAAACAGCTCCCAAAGGAGGGGCAGGTCCTTGCTGAGCCTGCCTGCAGCCCTTCATTCACAACAGTTCTTGGTGATGAACTGTCCTTGGGCGGTATGCGGAATTTGTGTGAGGGAGGCTGTGCCCTCTGGCATCCGATGTACTGTGCCAGGGGCTTTGAACCTGGGGGTGTCTGTGCTTGCTCTGTGCTAGGACACCTGTGCAGCCGGCGGCCTCTGCGTGCCCTGGCGTGGAGACGAGAGAGGGCTAGCTGCAGCAGTGGTGCTGGGCAGGGCTGTAGGGAACTCTGCACGGCTCTCCAGCCTTTGAGGAAATGCAGCTTGAAGGCTGCCCATTCCTCCCTCCTATTTCCTGATGTACAGGGCACCGAGGAGCCTGTTCTCATTGCTTTTGTTCTGAAGGTACATTAGTAAAACCCAGATTTTGTAAAATAAGCTGGTACATGTAGATTGGTCCTCCTGCTTATGGGAGATGAGGGCTCAGGAGGAGTGCCTCAGTGAGTTCTGGGGGCAGCGAGGAGTGCAGCCTTATGCCTCTCCTGCGTGGTACATACAGTCTCTGTGTGAAGCTTTCTGCTCTGGTTGTGCTGCTGGAGTGAAGCCATGCCCATAGCTGCACTAGGGTCCGTTTTTCCTTTCTCATTCCCGTGCTTCCTGTTTGTTTGACTTGAAAAGTAGGACTATTTTGGATCCCACCCTCTTCAGCATCTCTCCTGCAGTATCACATGTTACCGCCTTCTGGCACTGAACCAGAGCAAGAAGGCCTCTTCTCCTGACTGCTCTTTAGTCAGGAGGTTTTAGTAGTGTCTTTCATGGTCTTAGAAGACACTGGTTTTATGGAAATTTTCAAAGTCCAGTAAAGCACTAGCTTTTGTGGGGAGGAGGAGGGACCCTGACCTTCCCTGTGAAGTGTAGTTTTGAAAAAACCCTGCTGCTAATTATCTTAAAGGCAAAGAGCACAAGTGCTGGTACACAGCCAGGTAAGTTCCTCAGATCCTTCCTGTGCACACTCATGTTGTGAAGCTGTTTGTGAAAATTATTAGGGTTCATTCTAAGTATAACAAAGCATACCCTTCTTTTCCACAAATTCTTTAGAGCAGTCACAGGGCCAGACGCTCTGTAGAAGTCATGGTCCATCTGTCTGGTGGTCACTAGAAGTTCTGAAAACCCCAGCCCTCGGGCACCCCATTGTTCTTTTTGATTTTTTTTCTTTCTGCCTTCAGAAAAGCTGCCAGTAATGTTTACTTGCTGAAACATACTTAGCAGGTTTTAGAACACTGCACTTTTCTGTGAAAGCAGCAGTAAAGCATCAAAGAACAGACAAAGAACACTCTCCCTAGCCATTTGCTTCTGAGACGTACGTGGAGAAGTACCAACCAAGCTTCCTGCTCAGTGAGCAAGTAATTTTACCCCTCTGAGTTTTCCTGTTATGTAGAATTGCTGTTTCCCTGTTGACCTGTGGGAAAGGGTACAGGCGATAGATAAAGCGGCAATGTCCCACGAACCTCAAAGGCTAGTGCATCTTGTTCCTCCTGCTGTTCGCACGAGAAACCTACACTAAGATTAACAAAACATAACAAAGGACTAGCCAGAGGTAACGTGCATGACTTCTAAGATGCTGCAAAACAGAAACTGAGGCCAACAGCCCCATGGGAAAAATCACAAAAATGTGATAAACTAACTTAGAGTACTGAGCAGTGTAACATGAGAAACAAAGAGGTGGTTATGTAAATATGCCCTGTGACTGGACCCTTCTGCTGTTTCTTGTAATGCATATAAGGGAGAGTTAAGAAGCAATAGGCGATTCTGATTCTGGTTAAGCACATCAGGGTCCGTGAAATCATTCACTACATTGACCCAATCTCATGTCCCTTATCCTAATTAGATGCCTCACGAGCAACTATCCAGGTAAATTGGTTGCATGGATGATCATAGAATCACAGAATGGGTTAGGTTGGAAGGGACCTTCAAAGATCTAGTCCAACAGCCCCCCCCTGCCATGGGCAGGGACATCTTTCACTAGATTAGGGTGCTCGAAGCCCTGCTCAACCTGATCTTGAACACTTCAGGGGTGGGACAGCCACAACTTCTCTGGACCACCTGTCCCAGTGCCTCACCACCCTCATCGTAAAACATTTACTCCTTACGTCCAGTGTAAACCTTCTGTCTTTCAGTTTAAAAACATTGCCCACTGTCATCTAGGAGTTTTGGTTGCAGTGTCTTCCTGCAGCTTGCTGGAGCGCTGTCTCCTGGGCTATTCTGCAGGCAGCTTGTACCTGGAGCCCTCCCCTCCCTGTTTTGCCAGTGATGCCTGCTGTGGTGGACGTTTTTACTAGCAAAATGTGCCGTATCTTCTGCTGTCCCTGCAGGGCGACTCAGCAAGGCAGACAAAGAGCTCATAATTGTGGCTACAAGTGTTGTGAATAGATGTCCCTACTGTGTGGTTGCACATGGAGCGCTTCACCGGATATATTCCAAGCAACCAGCGTTGGCTGATCAGGTCAGTGGGATTACAACAGCCTGTGCCCCACCTCCTTCACATGGTCCTTTGGGGGGTGGGAATAGCCATCTGGTGTCTGCTTTTTCACCTGAAGCTTTGATCCTCAAGTCTGTTTCGTTCTCGGCAATCTTGACATGTCTGGGGCCCTAACTCAGTACCTGGCTTAGTAGGTTTATTGGTGAGCAGTCAGACCAGTAGCTAGTGGAGGTGGGACCTCATGGTGGGGGTCTCTGCGTCCTTATCCACCTTCCAAGCAAGATGCAGGGAGTGACAGTTGACCTGCAGAGCATTCATCCTGCTGCCCACCTTATTTGCTGTTTTAATCTGGTCTGCGGAGGAACTTGCTACCACCGGGGAGCTGCAGCATCGCGGTGGCATTGCGTCCTGTTTCAAGAACTCCTCCATAGCCTGCTCAGCAAAACTGCCACAGTCTCCAAAATGAGAAGAGTGGTAAAATAGATGAGTCTTTTGTCCGATGGTAGCTAGGACGTCCGGTTCAGGTGCTGTATAAGAAGAGCCTGTGTACTGCCATCTCTGGTTTGCAGAGCAAAGAAGGTGGGCAGCCACTTAAGACTGTTTGTTGGGTCCATCTGTGCTACCTCTGGTTTCTGCCTTCTCACAGGTCATTGTGAACTGGGAGCTAGCTGACCTGAGTGACCGGGACCTGGCAATGCTGGAGTTTGCTCTTGCAGTCTGTCGAGCTGATAACATCACTGAAGAGCATTTCCAGAAGCTGGAGAGGCACGGTTTTGACCGTGAAGATGCGTGGGACATAGGCATGATTTCTGCTTTTTTTGCTATGTCTAATCGCATAGCTCATTATATTGACCTGCGCCCCAACAAGGAGTTCTACACAATGGGCAGAACACCCCGTAGAGAGAAGGAGGAGGAGGAAGCTGAGCATGCCTGACATGGCTTTCTGATGCCTGTGCATCTGAAAGATTGATCAAGCTCTTAATTCTCAAGCTCGCGTGGCTTATTTCTGAATGTGTAAAAGGGTTAAAAGTTAATACCAGATTGTAGCCGTGAGGGATGGTAGGCTTCCCTTTTCCTCAGTGTTTTGAAGTCCAGTTAGACTTCTCAGGTACGTGCTGACCCCAGTGCTTCTGTGCTCCTGTGACAGCTGGAAGATTGTAGCTTTGGTCTCGGCACTGGCCGAGCAGGTAACGAGCTCACTGGGTCATGATGTGAGTTAACAGAGGCTCTTCCACGGCATTTTGCCTGCTCTGTGGTGTGAGATCTAATACACTTCATTATGGCCAGGTGTTGTGTATGTACTCTGTGGGGCTGGTGGGCTACCAGGGGCTTGGGGGTCCCTGGCTGCGGGGAGGAGGGGGAAGGACGAGGGGATCGGCTCTGCCAGACCTC